CCAGGAGCACAGAGGGAACTGGAAGTCAGAGCAGTGAGCAGGGATAGGAGGCTTGGCACCTGGCAGGGTTGCCAGACCTGAAAATAGGCTGGGATGGCCCGGTGCACTGGCTGTCACGTCCCCAGGAGCAGGAGGTGAGGCCGCAGGCCAGCAAAAGACGCAGAGTAGGAACTGAGATTCCTGGCAGGACAACCACCATAGCAAGCTGGGAACTGGAGATGCCACCCACAGGCCCAAGGAGGTGGGAAGAAGCTTGTCCCCAAGCCAGGAGATAAGAAATTTTGGTCCTGGACTCCCTGACACCTCTGGGCTACCTGGAAAAACAAATGTGTTGTGTACTGATCCCCTCTGGTAAGAGCTTCACATTCCTGAAGGCTTGACAGTGTACACGTGACCTTTCCAAGGCAGAGACTGTCCCAGCCGCAGAACAGGTAAGGAAGTGGAGGCTCAGGAAGGCTGAGCGATGTGTCCAGCATCCCACAACAGGTCTAGAGAAGAGCCAGGCTCAGACCCAAGGCCTTCCCTTCTGCAGCCCTGCCTCTAGTGGAAGTTTGGGCTGCTCAGGGCACCTCTTGAAGCCCCCAGGAAATGGGCAAGCTGACATTGCAGACACCCTGGGGTCAGATATGAATGCAGAGCTGCCCGACCTAAAGGGTTGCCAGTCATAGCCTGGCCACCAAGAAGCCCATCACCTCCCCACCCACCCCGCATCTGAGTAGGGAATGGAAGGAAAGGAGACATCTAGGTTGTACTGGAGAGGGGTCGGCAAAAATCAGATGCTATTCCCGTGGAGTAAGAGTCCTTTTTTTTTCTTGAAAGCCACTTGAACTTTGTCATTGCAATTAAGCTTATCTCCTCTTATGTTTGCTTAGCTTGTGGGCGGGAGATGTCATTACCCTCTCCTAATTTTATGGAAAACTACTTACAAGTGTCAAATTTTGAATTGGCCACTAACCTTCTTGGCCTCAAGACTTACACACACACAGAAATCTGGCCAAAAGGAGGCCATTGGAGGGTTGTCTGAGAACTGTCCTGTCTAGGCTCTGGGGGGCAGAGGGGATCCTTGCTTCGCATCTGCAGCTTGGCTTCCCTGACCCTCTGTCTGTTGGGCTGTCCACTCGCTGCGGGAGCTCTCAGGTCCTCATTGGCTGTGCCAGCCCCTTGACTAGCCCCTGAGTGAGTCATGTCAGGCACCACCCAGATGGGGTAGGCAGGAAGTACAGGGCCAGACAGAAGTGTCTGCGCGGAGTTGGCCCACAGGCCCTCCTCGGCTTCAGCAGCTGATCCAGACAGAGTTCAGGCCTCTGGGATGGGTGCTGACTTGTCCAAAGGGAAAGTTTCATGACCCTTTTTCCTATTTTCCACCCTAGGGCCCAGAGAGCAGCTCTGTGGTCAAGGGGAGAAGGTCTGGAGGTAGAATTGACGTGCCCAGTATCCCTTTATGGGAGGAAGGATGTCAGGCAGGCAGTGGCTGTGTGACAGAGCCTGGGGAGTCCAGGGCACTGCCAGCAGGTCCTCCCAAGAAGAGCACTTGATGGCTGAGGGGGAGGAGGGGTTAAATTACTGCCATTTCCTTAGAGATTATTTCATTATGCCAAGCTCCTATACTCCCCAACTAAAGCAAATTTTTTCAGATTTTCTCCCTTACAAGTGTTTGAAGAGTTCTTTAGGTAGGCGGTGGGTAAGTAAGGTAGGGTGGGTGGGGTCTCAGATATGACTTGAGTTTAGCTGGGACCTCACACAGACACATGCCAGATGTTAGCCTGTGGGTATCAGCCTATGTAATCCAGATGCCATCTGGGATTTGCATAAAATTAGCTTAAATTCCTCCAAAGCCCTCACTAAAATTCCTGGACTTTACAGTGGTTCAAAAGCTATACACATTCAGTAGAAACTGTACTTAAAATTCTGAATACGGATCTTTTCCCGGGCTAGCAATAGCCATCCGATCTCTCATGATGCTGGGCAGCAGCAGTGAGCTACATCTCCCAGTCAGCCACGCCATCATGAGTGTGACAGCCCACACACTCACAACCATCTGTACCCATACACCCTTTCTGCTCCCACACAGCTATTCTGCTTTTCCCTTTCAGTACAGTATTCAATAAATTACATGAGATAGTCCATGCTTTATTACCAAATAGGCTTTATGTTAAATGAGTTTGCCCAACAGCAGGCTAATGTAAACATTCTGAACACGTTTAGGGTAGGCTGCGCTAAGCAGGAATGGGCAGTAGGTTACGTGTATTAAATGCATTTCGACTTCCCATAGTTTCAACTCCTTATGGGTTGATGAGGACATAGCACGTCCTAGGTTGAGGAAAGTCAGTGCTGTTTCAGGCACGCTGTCTCAGCTCCATCACGCCAATCCAGGAAAGAAACTCAGCCCTTCATCATTTCTACTTGTACACATATTGGTCCACAGATTATATTTTACTGAAGCACTTGAGGCAGTTGGCTGGGGGGATTTAAAGAAAGATGGATGGGGATTCACTTGACAGCAAAATGAGCAGCTTCAACTTTAGCACCAGCCCTCCTGGAAGCCAGTCCTGCTTCACTGCTGCCAGGAGTGCCTTAGTGACCACCCCCTGCACACCGCATGGTCCTCTCCTTTCTGCCTGCTGCGCTGCTCTCTTTCTTCTTCCCTGACACCCAGGAGGGAGGAAGAAGACACAGCAGACCCTCCTGCCTCCTGCCCAGCACAGCAGCCTTCGTGCCCCAGCCCTCACTGAACTCAGATCTAGGGTCTCAGTCACCCTTTCTCCCAAGCCGCGTATCCAGCCATTTACACACACACACGGAGTTTCCTCCCAAGAGGAATTCTAGTGCCAGTTCTTAAGATAATCAATTTTTCATTTCCTTATATGTAGAAAAGTAAAAAGTCATTGTCCCTCCTGGAGAATATTAGGGTTTAATATGGGCACTCAATACAAGACATGTTGAAAGGTACATAATCAAACTTCAGAGCAAGACCAGAGGAGACCAGGGATGTGCCGTCATCCTGTGAGCCACTGTTCTCACTCCCGTCCTGGTGTCAGGACACTTGTGGTGACTAACGGCTATGAGCACTCAGCATACACACCTGCTCAGTGCCCTCTGGGAACAGTCCTGCCCTGAGGCCTGGAAAGCATTCTGTGTCCCGGGCACCACAGAGGAGAGCTGAGCAGAGGGGCCAGAACAGAGCACCCTCTGCACTTGCAGGGAAGCCTTGTTGGTGCCAGAACCCATGTGGTGGCTCCCTTACCAGTGCCTCTGCCCACACTGCTCAGCGGGGGCGATGCCTGTCCAGCAGGGTATATGCTGTTGCCACCTGTCAGGGATGCCAGAGAAGGGCTCTGGCACTGAGCACATGGGTGGATGAGGGGACTTCTAAGATATTTTGCTGGATCAACAGACCCAAATTCTGGAACTTTTGGAGCGTGTGTGTGAGGGGCTGGAATTAAGAGAGCATACCTCTACCGCAGGCTGACACGCCCGTGTTAGTGCTGGGCTCCACATGCTGGCCTCCCTGCAGACCCATGTTCCCTGGCATGGATTCTCCTATGCTCACATGTCCCCTGCCTTGTGCACCACCAGACTCTGAGGGCAGCCAGACTTCCAGAGAAGACACCCCAGCAGCCCACTGAATTGTGGGGTGCAGAGTAAGGGGACTGCCGGTTTGGCAGATGAGGGAGTAAGCACATAGTACTCTTGGTAATTGTGCTGCACATAGCAATAGACAGGCCCCCCAGCAGGGGAGAGCTTTTGAGGAAATAGAAAGCTCAGCCTGGAACCATCCACCATTACTCAGGGACAGGCTGGAATGGCCAAGCAGGGCTGCAGAGGAAGGAGAAAGAATGGGGAGGGATGGGAAATGAATGGCTGGCTCTTGGCCTGGTGTCACACATTGCCAGCCCTGGTCACATCCTTTCATGCTGGACTTTCAGCCAAGCCACAGCCTGTTAGTTGCACGTGCATGCGCACACACACACACACACACACACACACACACACACACACATGCACACACACACAATCTCCTTGCTGTCCAGCCCCAGTGATCCAGTGTCTTGAGGGGCCATGCCAACCTGACCACTCCATGTTTCTTATTCTCCTTTAACAAGAAAAACCATGGCCTCATCCTCATTATTTTTGGACAGCATTTATTTGCTGATGCATCATTCATTGGATACGTACTGTGCCAGGTATTGGGAATACCAAGGAAGAAGTACAATGAAAAAGAATATGAAGAGAAATAATTCTAGGAATTAGAATATAGGTATTTGCAAAGTGCTCTATGAGCCCGGAGGTGAACCACTGGAGAGGTGAGGGCAGAGGGAGCAGCAAGAAAGCAGTTAGAGGCATGGGCTCCCAACATGCTCAGTTGGCCCCACGGGTACTACCTTTTCCTCCTTTCCCCCCTTATCTCTACCTGATAAAATGCGCCACAGTGTCCGCACACCTGGTTTGCGTGGTTCATATCTACCCTTTAGCATGTTTTAACTCTTCAAAAGGAAACTGGTCAGGAACCATAGAGGAGTCTATAATCAACAAGGAGGTATTCCCAGAATACAAAAGAGCTCTCAGGGTTGATGATGGCTTTGTAAAATTAAGTTTGTGTAATGAAAAAGATGGGGAGAGATCATAAGCTTATGTAAATAAGGTAAGATTTTGAGTTGAAAGAGATGCTTAGATGCCAAGATCTAGGCACACCGTATATGTGCACACATATGTATATACATACACGTGCATAGATGCACACATACACATATGCATACACATCTATACAAACACATGTCATGGGAGAGTAGCTCCTTAAAGGCTGCAGGGCCACAAGGCTTTGCACTTGATTGACACCCATGGATGTTTGCTGAATTAGAGCAAACCTCTACTGTGCCCATCCTGTTTTTTTTATCGTTGACCATTGCTCTCAGGAGTTAATGTTTGAACCTAGCCATAAAGAAGTTAGCAATGCTGACCTATGGCCAACATTCAGAGGGGAAGGACCCCCCCTATAAATCAGCTCACACTGGACAGCCCCGCCAGTAGAGCTGCAGATCAGCTGTGGAGGAAGCCTTGTTGCCAACATGAACTTCTCTGGCAAGTACCAACTGCAAAGTCAGGAAAACTTCGAGGCCTTCATGAAAGCAGTCGGTGAGTGCCAGTCTGGACGCCAAGGCTGGGGGCTGCAGCAATGAGGGCCTGGCCCTGCAGATGGTGACAGGTGGTGACTAGTCGGGGTCTCAGTGTTGGGATAGGAGGAGAGGTTTAGGCTTTGCACAGACCAGGGCCCATGTCATGCATGTAACTTCTGCAGTCTTGTGCAGCTTGTGCTGTTACTCAATGGACAAGTTACTCCATAGGCAAGTGCAAAGAGCACTGAACTCGGGTGTGGGCTCCCAACATGCTCAGTTGGCCCCACGGGTGTGAAACCACCTCTGCTGGTACCTCATTGGGTGACCCTATCATTCATTCATTCATTCTTATTAAGTCTTCTAACAAATATTGATTCAAGGCCAAATATCTGCTGAGCACTGTGCCCAATAGATACCAGTGAGACAGGTAACAATGAAGCACATTTTGAAGGTCACAGTTTAGAGGGAGCAAAGAAGAAGAAATGAATACAGTAAGTGTCCCCTAACATATGCTGAGTGCTGACTTGGTGCAGGGCATTGTGCTAAGCCCTTGATGTGCAATATCCCACACCAAAACTCTGAGTTTTCTCATTTTACAGTTGAGGCAGTTGAGGCTTAGAAAGGTGAAGTGATCCCCACCAAGGTCATGCAGGTCAGAGTGTTTGCACTGGGATTTGAAGAAGGTGCTGGTTCCCAAAGACCCCACTTTAACTCCCTTTACCCCCCAGAGTTATGAACAGAAGGATGTGGCACTCATGGGAGGGTATGGAAGGCAGGCTTGGTGGTGGCAAAGGTGACCCTTCGCTGATGGGCAGGTGTCCACTTGGGGACAGGGGCAGGAGGCTGTGCTTTGGGTAGAGGGAGTCCTGTGAGCAAGGGACAGCATGTCAAGGAAGGATGCCAATGGGTAAAGGATGGGGAAGACACAAAGGCCGAGTGGAAGCCGTGTGGGGCCCACCAGGAGCTGGGATCTTCTCCTGCAGCACAAGTCACCCCACCTCTCTGTGTCTCGCATCCCTTTCCCCTGCAGCAGGACCCTCCACCCCCGTAGCCAGGGCTAGTGGATTTGTGAACCTCAGTTCGTATAACAGTGCAGACATGTCCTGAGAAAGCTCTGTCCCAGGGCAAGGACACCTGCTTCCTCTTCCTCAAGAGCCTTCGCTGTCAAGCCTGGGGTGGGGAGAGGTGGGCAGAAGTTCACAGGGCACAGTCCCAGTGTCCATGTTGTCCTGCCATAATTATTAACAGCATCCCTTTCACTCTTAGCAGTGAGCTGGCTGGGAAGGTAAAGTGGATGGCCACCCTGGGTATGGAGAAGGAAATGCCTCCGAGCAAAGAGCGAAGTGTCTGGGTGCTAAAGCAGCAGAAAGGAAGGAGAAGGAGCAAGAACCTGGGTGCTCACTAGAGGACAGGTTCTTCGGGCCAAAGGAATGTCTTTTTTATAAACCAACTGGCAAGAGAGCTGGCTGGTCAGGTCAGGCCAAGTCAGGCCATCGACCTTGCCTTTCAGAGGTCGAAGCCCATGCTGCTCACAGGTGTCCAGTACGCGCCTGTGGTCTCCAGGGAGACGGCATGTTCCTCTCCCCATTCAGGCCACAGAGTTTTTCTTGCGACCCCCACCTCTGGCTCTCCCTGACCTCAGATGGTTTCCACCAGGGTTGTCCGACGACCTCATCCAGAAGGGGAAGGACATCAAGGGGGTGTCGGAAATCGTGCAAAATGGGAAGCACTTCAAGTTCACCATTACTACAGGGTCCAAAGTGATCCAAAATGAATTCACCTTGGGAGAGGAGTGTGAGCTGGAGAGCATGACAGGGGAGAAGGTCAAGGTAAGAGTGCCCCCTCGAGCCACCCTCTGCTTCCAGAACTTTCCCGGGAACCTGGCCCCGGGACTCCTCCCTCAAGGCTCCTCCCTTACAGTTCCCACCGCAGACACTCTACCCCTGAACCCACTTCTGGAGTCAGAGGCAAAGAGACAAAGATGCTTTTAGGGAAGAAGCTCTCAAGGAAGCTCCTCCCGCTTTCCAGCAACCTCTGGGGCTCTCTGGCCCAAGAGTCCGAGCTCTCTATGGAGGACATGGAGAACCAGGCACGAGCAGGAGTCTGTCTCAGGTTCTCTCAGGCTCAGCAGCGAGCGAGTGGGAAATCAGTGAAAAACGGTTAACAGAGCTCTGAAGTCACCCTTGAGCCCAAAGCAAACCAGCCTTGCTGAGCCTGGAGCTGGTGGTCCTGGGGAGAGACTTCCTAGAGGAATACCAAGGCCCCAGGCAGGCCCTCAGCCCAAGACTTCAGAGGGACCACTGAGCCCCTGGCCTCGGCTACCTCATCTGTGAAATGGGCTGAAGGCAGTGGGAAGGCAGCATTGCTTCTGCTGGGCTATGGTGAGGGCTGTGTGAGTGGTTGGCAGGCGGTGGCAGGAGATCCAGGCAACAGGGTGTGCCTCACGAGGGACCTCTCCTCCTCCTGCTCGGACACTGTGCACACCCAGCACAGCCAGTGCCACAGAGCATCCTCCTCCTCCTCCTCCTCCAGACGACTGTATGCACTAGGCTCAGCCTGTTGGTCTTTTTATGTCTCCTGATGGCTCCTCATTTCTCCTTCTCCAGATACCACATTAAAGGCCAGGAAATGTGTGATAAATTATAGGAGGGAAACTCTCCTGACTTGCCCGGCGTAAGGCACAGGCCTTTCCCAATTGTCCATTTTTGAGGCAAAATTTTGACCTTAAGAGCACTTGATGGCTGAGGGGGAGGAGGGGTTAAATTACTGCCATTTCCTTAGAGATTATTTCATTATGCCAAGCTCCTATACTCCCCAACTAAAGCAAATTTTTTCAGATTTTCTCCCTTACAAGTGTTTGAAGAGTTCTTTAGGTAGGCGGTGGGTAAGTAAGGTAGGGTGGGTGGGGTCTCAGATATGACTTGAGTTTAGCTGGGACCTCACACAGACACATGCCAGATGTTAGCCTGTGGGTATCAGCCTATGTAATCCAGATGCCATCTGGGATTTGCATAAAATTAGCTTAAATTCCTCCAAAGCCCTCACTAAAATTCCTGGACTTTACAGTGGTTCAAAAGCTATACACATTCAGTAGAAACTGTACTTAAAATTCTGAATACGGATCTTTTCCCGGGCTAGCAATAGCCATCCGATCTCTCATGATGCTGGGCAGCAGCAGTGAGCTACATCTCCCAGTCAGCCACGCCATCATGAGTGTGACAGCCCACACACTCACAACCATCTGTACCCATACACCCTTTCTGCTCCCACACAGCTATTCTGCTTTTCCCTTTCAGTACAGTATTCAATAAATTACATGAGATAGTCCATGCTTTATTACCAAATAGGCTTTATGTTAAATGAGTTTGCCCAACAGCAGGCTAATGTAAACATTCTGAACACGTTTAGGGTAGGCTGCGCTAAGCAGGAATGGGCAGTAGGTTACGTGTATTAAATGCATTTCGACTTCCCATAGTTTCAACTCCTTATGGGTTGATGAGGACATAGCACGTCCTAGGTTGAGGAAAGTCAGTGCTGTTTCAGGCACGCTGTCTCAGCTCCATCACGCCAATCCAGGAAAGAAACTCAGCCCTTCATCATTTCTACTTGTACACATATTGGTCCACAGATTATATTTTACTGAAGCACTTGAGGCAGTTGGCTGGGGGGATTTAAAGAAAGATGGATGGGGATTCACTTGACAGCAAAATGAGCAGCTTCAACTTTAGCACCAGCCCTCCTGGAAGCCAGTCCTGCTTCACTGCTGCCAGGAGTGCCTTAGTGACCACCCCCTGCACACCGCATGGTCCTCTCCTTTCTGCCTGCTGCGCTGCTCTCTTTCTTCTTCCCTGACACCCAGGAGGGAGGAAGAAGACACAGCAGACCCTCCTGCCTCCTGCCCAGCACAGCAGCCTTCGTGCCCCAGCCCTCACTGAACTCAGATCTAGGGTCTCAGTCACCCTTTCTCCCAAGCCGCGTATCCAGCCATTTACACACACACACGGAGTTTCCTCCCAAGAGGAATTCTAGTGCCAGTTCTTAAGATAATCAATTTTTCATTTCCTTATATGTAGAAAAGTAAAAAGTCATTGTCCCTCCTGGAGAATATTAGGGTTTAATATGGGCACTCAATACAAGACATGTTGAAAGGTACATAATCAAACTTCAGAGCAAGACCAGAGGAGACCAGGGATGTGCCGTCATCCTGTGAGCCACTGTTCTCACTCCCGTCCTGGTGTCAGGACACTTGTGGTGACTAACGGCTATGAGCACTCAGCATACACACCTGCTCAGTGCCCTCTGGGAACAGTCCTGCCCTGAGGCCTGGAAAGCATTCTGTGTCCCGGGCACCACAGAGGAGAGCTGAGCAGAGGGGCCAGAACAGAGCACCCTCTGCACTTGCAGGGAAGCCTTGTTGGTGCCAGAACCCATGTGGTGGCTCCCTTACCAGTGCCTCTGCCCACACTGCTCAGCGGGGGCGATGCCTGTCCAGCAGGGTATATGCTGTTGCCACCTGTCAGGGATGCCAGAGAAGGGCTCTGGCACTGAGCACATGGGTGGATGAGGGGACTTCTAAGATATTTTGCTGGATCAACAGACCCAAATTCTGGAACTTTTGGAGCGTGTGTGTGAGGGGCTGGAATTAAGAGAGCATACCTCTACCGCAGGCTGACACGCCCGTGTTAGTGCTGGGCTCCACATGCTGGCCTCCCTGCAGACCCATGTTCCCTGGCATGGATTCTCCTATGCTCACATGTCCCCTGCCTTGTGCACCACCAGACTCTGAGGGCAGCCAGACTTCCAGAGAAGACACCCCAGCAGCCCACTGAATTGTGGGGTGCAGAGTAAGGGGACTGCCGGTTTGGCAGATGAGGGAGTAAGCACATAGTACTCTTGGTAATTGTGCTGCACATAGCAATAGACAGGCCCCCCAGCAGGGGAGAGCTTTTGAGGAAATAGAAAGCTCAGCCTGGAACCATCCACCATTACTCAGGGACAGGCTGGAATGGCCAAGCAGGGCTGCAGAGGAAGGAGAAAGAATGGGGAGGGATGGGAAATGAATGGCTGGCTCTTGGCCTGGTGTCACACATTGCCAGCCCTGGTCACATCCTTTCATGCTGGACTTTCAGCCAAGCCACAGCCTGTTAGTTGCACGTGCATGCGCACACACACACACACACACACACACACACACACACACACACATGCA